AAACGCTTTATAAGATTACACATCGTTATAACTGAAACCATTAACTAACCAAATAATAATAATAATATATTCGTTACTATATTGAAACGTAACTCTATTAAAGTTCATTCAAACACTCGACCACACTGACAGCTCACACTAGAAATGAGAACCAGCTGGCCGTATGGATGATTTTGCAAATTTTTTGAACGGTTTCGCTAAAAGTACACGATTGATCATCCTGAATATTGACTAAGTGCGATGTGTCTTGAAAAATTGTGAAATACTGCATTCTATCCGAGGTCTGTATGATAAATAGTACTGTTTCACCTCAGATGTGATGTATTAAAAGTATAAAAAGTTGGTTTACACACTCCCAGATTTGTTGGCAAGATTTTCTCAAACCTGTCAAACGCAAAAAAAATACGGCCCGATTTGTTTTCCAACAATTTGTTTCCTAGGTCTAATCTACTGTGATCAAGAGCCATTAAGGCTCTTGAATGTGATTGAAGATGTTTGCTATTTTTTGGCTGTACATATAAGGCTATCAACTCGATGAAAGATGTTTCACTATAAAATAACTTAGCCTTTCTCTCAAAAGTGACATGAATGTGCCCTTGAGTTAACTGATTTGCGGATTACAAATTTATTGCTTGATTTAAATTATACATTTATTAATGGGAGCTTCGCTTTAGCACTGGCTAAACCTATATGTTACTCATACATTGAATTAACAATATCATTTTGATCTGCAGGTCCATTTGCATAAAGTACCTTCTTCAAGGGTGCATGCCTCAAGTTATGCAGTTACAAAAGGGTTTAAGTGCGTGCAATGTGCTGAGTAGTGCCAGAGAAAATCCAGCATTGTTTAAAACAGTATTTGTGCCTGGGTTTAGCAAGAAGCATCATTCCTGAGAAGTTCTTGGACCAGCTTGTTATACAATTCAGTCTTCCTGAACGATGCAAAGAAGCAGAAATCGATGTAAAGAAGTACTTTTGTGACTTCATTGTGGGCTCACAATATCATGGTGTTAAGCTCTATCACGTGGCTAACTCCATTTTTATTGTATAATTAAATTTGTTTGCAACTTAAGAGTCTTTCATGGCATTAAAATATACCAGAGTCTGCTTGGCACAAAGTTGCACATACAGACATGGAAAAGCATTAAATGCTTGGAAATAAAAAAAAGATTGCAAAAGTTCCGTTTTCATGTAATGAAATGACAGACTACCGTAAATCACACAAAAATATGATATCCCATTCCACACTTGGTACATGCAATGCAATGCTAATCACAGACGTTACAGAACTGTTACAGGTAAATCATAGTCACCTGAAATTGGATAATGATTCCACGCAAGTCACTAAGTGAAATTATCTGACTTACATCTCTTGAGCTTCAAAGGGAATTTATAAAATAATACAATTTTACATGACAATTTAAGTGCCAATAAATGAGAGTCACCTTTTTGCACCTAACATGGAGCAAACGAAAAGCTTCCAAGACTTTGGTATAAATCTTCTAAAGAATAATTGTACAAGTGTCCTGGCACTGCAAAGAAAATGAGAAAAGAAAATGAGATAATCATAAACTGAGTGCAGAACACCCACCTGGAATGATAGTGTCTTGTTTGTGCAACCCCCACCACATTCTCTCAACTGTGAAAAGATTTTTACTTCCCTGTGCTGTTTTTCTACGTATGCAACTTTCATGCAAACAGAATATTTGTCTTAACTCAAACTTTAAGGCCAGTATTTTTTTCCAGGAGGTTTATCACATAGACAGTGTTGGGTTTACCCCCACCCGTAATAGGTGGTTCCTTCTTGACAATACTTACTGGAAACACTTACTTAATTGGGATACAACTATGCTTAACTCTTAGAAACTGGATGTAGTGGCGCTTCTCTTGTTGGCTTTCCAAGGAAATTCAGCGTGGGTTTTGTCCAGGGAAAATGGAAACAATGGTTATGCAAAATTATTGGGGTAAACAAAATGCATTATTGTCTATGTGAAAATGGTGAATACAAAAAATATACAAAAAAACAGCGAGCAAAATACAATGATAACCTGCCAAAGTATTGCTTCCAAAATTACAAATGGGGACAGTCATTAGTGAAAAATTACTTTTTATCTTTCAGACAACTCAGTCACTTCCCAAATAATTCTTTTTTCTCTTCTTGCATTGTCTTTAAAATACCAACATCTCTGAAGCAGAGGAATAGGACTTTTTTTTCCGTTTCATTCTCCTTTGGCCTTATTTTGGGTCAGCAGCTGTTTTCCCTTTGATGTCCTCCGAACCTACTGAATCACTTGCATTTTCTGAGTGAGAGATGTCATCAATTGTTTGAGGTGACTGAGAACGAGTGCTTGAGGATGTGGTGGAGTCTGAATCAAATGCGAAAACTGGTCTGACACTTGCTTTATCACCAATGCACTGCTCTATTTCCTTCTGGAATTTCCAAGTTTTATGTGCTCTGCCGTTTACTTGTTATCTTCGATTTCTTTTTGTTTTGATTCCAGTTTTACCACTTTCGTAAGCCCTGCTCTTCTGATACTTTTATATCAGCGTGCTTATTGAACTCGGCACCTATCTTGTTTAACACAGTTACCTTTATGTTTGCCTGTCCGATTAGGCCTTTGAATTAGAGATAATTTTCGATTGGCAAACACACATCTTTGTCTTCCATCGTTTAAGTGTTCATTAAGGTTGACCTGCTTGGACCTCAGCCAGACCGTCACTTTCTTCAGGAAGTGAAGAACAAGTTGAATTCTATAACTAATGATATAAACAAAAATATCTCAGAAACGTGTCAATGGGGAAAATCCGGATATAAACCCGACAAACCATCAGCTTGTGAGGAACGTGGTTGCAACAGACCTCATTAAATGCGTACAGAGGTTGAATTAAGTAAGGATTTGTTGAAGAAAACAAATTATTCGAAGAATAAAATGATAGAGTCGGAGGCTGAAATGCCGTCATCAAGCAAATTGGTTTTGCTGGGAATGGTCGCAGTCGACACGTGAACATGGTAGCAGGTCTGTGTGGTACTATAACGTACCCAAATGTTTCAAACAAGTTGACAGAGCAAACATGGCGGCCGGAAAAGAGGTGAAAACATCGGGGATTCACTTCTGCTTAAAAAGCAATTTTTTACCCACACTAACTAGTGAACATTCAAGTGAAGACTTTTCAAGATAAAAACTGTACTTCCACTGTTTAGATTGCTAAATGTTTTCATAAAACCTGCATGACAGCCTTCCGGATGTCTTGTGACTTATTGTATTGTAAACGACTCCACTGACACGAGAAAGCACAATGATGAAATCGGGGAATGAGTAGCGTGTGCGGTAAATATCTGATACCCTTTTGCTTAAAGTGCCTATTAAGGTCACAACTTGGGCACCAAACTTGTTTGAGTTGCATTGTCCAGTTATTCATAGAGATATTTTTGATAAATTTTTGTGTTTCAGACGTCAGTTGGCTAATTTGGATGATGCAAAAACTTGAATATCTCTAGAACACGGAAAGATATACCCAAAAGAAAAGCGCCATCCTTTTTCATTTTGAAAGGCATGTCATTCAAATAAGCCTCACTTGTTTTTCATTTCTTAGCTCACTAGCTTATAGAAAGTGCGCAGTGTCCGGTATGGTGTAGTGACATTTCTCTTTTATCCTTTGTCCTGTGTAAGATTAAGGACAATTAACGCTAAATATTTTGCTTAACTGCTGAATACCCTGCCACTCATTTCATGTCATGAATTAGAATGGCATCTATTGTGTTCTGCTTTGTTCTTTAATCAACGCTGACCAAGGAAAAACATATCGGTGTAGAGTGGCAGGGTGTTCAGCAGTTACTCATTTACTGCAGAAGTCAATTCCAGAGGAGATTAAAAGAAAGAAATTTACTGTTTTTTCGAGTTTAAAACAACAAAATTGTCAAATGAACTAATGAACACGTACATAAATCATGAAAGATCATCTCATTACTTGTCTGTTTTTTCGGCAAAAATTTGGTTTTTCAGTGGTGTTGATTATGTAAATTGACCACCGTACAAAGAACGAAAAGCTGACGTTTCGAGCGTTAACCCTTTCTCAGAGGGAATCGAGGAAGTGTAGGTAGTGTAAGGTTCATATACAGAGGAAGGAGCAACACTATTGGAGTGAACTTGGTCACCTAAAAAACAGAAATAAATGAATTGAATGAAAAGCGTTCGTTGATGCCATGGAGATTAAGGGTGAGAATTTCAAAAATGAATCTTTGCTCTACATTTCTAAGGCTGTCTGTAGTACCGGTGCCCTGATGTAGGGAAAGGCCTCAAATAAACGTGTTCTTTAGAATGTTCGGGGAGATTAAGGCATTTTCATACATCAGGGTAGTACAGAGAGCCGGAAAAATTTAGAGCAAAGATTAATTTTTCAAATCAGCACCATTAATCCCCACCGGATCAACAAACGCCTGTTATTGAATTAATTTATTCCTGTTTTTCATGTGACCAAATTCCCACCAATAGCGTAGCTCCTTCTTCTGTATATGAACCTACCACAATTCCTCAATTCGCTCTGACGAAGGGCTAACGCTCGAAACTGCAGCTTTCAGTCTCTGTACTGTGGTCAATTTACATCATCAACTCCACTGATAAACCAAATTTTGGTGTTTCACTCCCCAACCAACGCAGCACCACAGTTTCGTCAGAGAATAACCTCCTTTACTTATTTTTTAAGCAAGTGAGCATTCCTCTTAAAAGTACATGTACTCACCCTGTACCAATAGAGTTCCGAAAATGTGCGATAGTAAAAGGAGTGAAATACCATGTTGAAAATTACACTTTTGTCGATGTATGTGCACACCATTTGTTTTCCGTAAAGCAGGCAAAACAACTCCTTTAACCCCCTAAAACCGGTTGGGGTTTTTCCTTGTTATACAAAACAAAAAATTACTTAAGAAAGAAGACAAAAGAAAGATGATTTAAGCCAAAAATAGTTTCAAATGGAACCGTTTTCTTGATTATCTCCAAAGGGAACACAGTTACAGCTATTTGACTTGGAGGGATATGTCGAGTCAATGGGGAGTACTAAATGTGCTCTCTTCCAAGAAGTTGTGGACAGCTCCAAGTAAAGACCAGTACTTGCCATCATACTTTAAAGGGGTATGTGCTGTCTATGCCAAAAGCGAGAACGCCCATCGTGTTTTTCCTGTCGAGGTCAGTACACAATACAAGTCTGAGATTATTACAGTTTATTAATTTAAGGTACATGTATTATTCATTCTCGGAGACCCAGGGTCAAATATTAAGGGTTATGTACGTGTACTTCACACCCACTGAAGAGGATAAAAGAAAGTGCCCCACGATAAGACTACAACTCTGGTGCAGATGGATATTTCCCCTGTTTACACTGCTCAACTCTACTGTGCTTCATCTTTTCAAGATGGTCTCAATGAGAATTGCAGAGCCTGAGCCACCCCTTGACCAGCGGTCAGGAATTGTAAAGAGACCTTTAAATATCAATGTTAGTCCCAAACTTGCATGCATTAGGTAGGTTCTGTTTTTTGGGTCACTCAAAACCAACACAGATCCTCTATTGTTATTGGGGCTCATAAAAGACCCCATAAGACAGCCGATTTTGGACCAGCCTGTTTCCCAGAAATAGAATCTTATGTATCGAACAAAACAAGTCATTTTAATTTTGTACTTACAATAACTGCATACAGTCGTAGCATGTCAGTTTTGTTTTATTTTGTTCTTTTTTTAGTGCCTTGGACGTCCAAAAACATCACATCCTTCAACACCTATATGGGTACTTGGTTCCAATTTGCACGTGAAGGTTGATATCAAAACAGGGAGAGCTGAAAGGTTGGGTATCACAGATTCACCTTACTGTGTTCTAGACAGTAAGGTATCTTATAAAATGCCAACCTTCAACTTTGAAGGTAACTACACGTTTTTTAATGCTTCAATAGATTCTCTCTTATTGGCAGTTTTGAGGCTCATAAAATTAAATAACATAAACAAGCTTGAAGGAGCTACATCACAGTTTGGACTAACATTAATGTGTAATTTCAAAAAAAAATAATCGGATTTAATCCTCTGTCATCTTAATCATCCTTGTTCCTTTCTGGATTAGTATCTTCCAAGGTTTGCTCCATTTTAAGGGGAATTTGGTTACTTAAAAAAGTGACTAAAGATGTTTTTATGTAGCTCCTTTGAAGTAGCATTGCAAAACTTAAAATTCTGTACTGAAGACTGTATTTTTTTCCTTGTCATGTCCTCCCAACTTACGTCTACTACAACATTTTTTATTTGCTCATATAATACATGAATACATGAATGCAATGAGAATGAAACTGATAGTAAAGTGATACATGTAAGGTACAGATCTTTAACGACGATGAAAGACAAGGAGCACTGTGGAGAGATTATGAAGAGAGAGAGAGAGAAATTTATATACTGAACGTTGAGATCAGCTAAAAAAGATTTATATCTATAGAAAAAAGAAATTTTCAACTTGTGGCATCTTTTACAAGGAATGTGACAATTAGGTAAGATAAAACCAGTGTATTCCACGTCCAGTCCAAAATAATATCTTTAAAACAGTCAATCAGTTCTTTAACTTTTGCTGTTATTAAAAGGAAAAAATCTACACCTTCAAGTATAAAACTGTGATGGTCTGCTTTGTCCTGTATGTTCAATTACATAAATAAACAAGAACTCCTTGACCCTTACTGTCAGTAATGCTTGCATGCCAACGAAGGTAGATGTTGATTGAAATAGTCAATGCCTACCATTTACTTTTAAAATTTTAAAAAGCTTTTAAAATATCCATGATAATACAAGGTTTTTATTTCTTTAGGGAATCTGGATACAGAAATTCTGAAAAAGCCCATTACAGTTATGAACAAGCATATGGGGTCCAACTTCCCATCTACCTTGCTCACAATGGGTGGAGTTGGCCTAGCTCTCCATTATGAACAGCTATGTACCCTTTATGATGGGGTCCCTCTTATACTTGCATGGGGGAAACCATTGTCTGGCAAAACTACTGCCGCAAAGACTGCTATGGCCTTAATTGGCCAACACGAAGAAGTAGGAGGTATGTTAAAAACAAGTATGTATTAGTCTGCTAAGAGCATGATCAACCTAAAAGACTCCATGTCTAGACAATGTCTTCAAATTGCCAAATTTTGTCAAACAGAACAGCAGTAAAATTCACCTTTCAATTAACTGTTGTCTATGGGTAGTGTGATCTCTCTTACATTTTTGTATCAAATAATTAGAAATATAAGTTAGTACAACTCCAAGAAGAACAGATCAATTTAACATTCTTTGAAATACTTTTTTTCCTCAACAATTTTCCACACTTGTCATTGCCTATATGTCGATACTGCTGATGCCTTTAAATCTTTTCCTTGACCTGTATAATTTGTTTGTATGAAGATCCATGAACTGATGACTGAGAAATTAAGCCGAAAACCTACTGTTGCCAAGTGATAAAAAAAAGCCTTTCCATGAAGGCGTGCTTCCTGACAGTAACAAGTATATTTATTGATTAACAAAGTTTACAACATATGCATGCTAAAGGTAAGCCCGAGAAAGGCCAAACAAGAACCTACACGGAACAGCACCGCAAGTAATAATAGGGTGAAAAACAAAAACACCCCACACCGCAGCATTTGATATCACTGCAACACAGCATTAAGGTTGGATTTTATTCTCAGTATCACTGCATTAGAAAAACAATCAACACTGCAACACCTCAAAGCCCCTTGCCCCCCTCTATTATCCATGCAGAATAATAGTTAAATACAAAAATATATTAAGCAAGCTAATCATTTTAATTGCAGAATGCACCTTGGCAAGCACCAGGACAGTACCTTTTCTGTGGGTTGATGCTTCAGACTTTACAGTAATTGAAAAGTTGGCAGTTGCTGTTTTCAACCAGGTAATATAAGAGACAAACTCGCATTTGATAAAGTTATAATTTGTTCTTGAAACTAGGTTATTAAAACTCAATATAGGTCAGTCTGTATATAGGCGAAAACTGCCCCAGGCCATACTCAAGCCCGTCAAGGCACATTTTTTCCCTATACTAACCTAGGCTGGCAAATAACGTTTTCCTTTTTCATATTATATTTTGTATGGTAAAGAAACCTAGAAAGATTGTGTATCACATTTTTGTCTGCTTTCGCACTTATTCAATGCCAAGTTGTCGGAAGGTATCAAGTTAGATTCCCCACTTCAGATATTGCCTTTCTGGTGTTCAAATTGGTTGACTCAATGGTGGTTATCAGCTCATATACTGTATGACCTTATATGGAATGGATGGGTGAAGTGTTCACAATATTATTATGTTAACTGCAACACTAATTTTTCTTAACAAAATCATTCAATTATTTAAATCATTTTTGTTTCAGTTTTGCCCTCTGATTTCTTTGCATTGTCTGGGCAGCCCCATTTTCTTTATTAAAATGCCCTAATAACATGGATTATAAGAGTCAGTTTTTTGAATTGTATGAAGTAATTAACTCATGACATATTGCTTTTGTGAATTGTACCCTATAAAACCATTCTAAATAAAATAACATCTGAAGACCTTGATATTTATTAATTTTGTAAAATTGGTTAAATTAATTTCAAGTCTCAGAAGAAAACAAGTGGAAAAAGGGCACATCAGAGTCCTAGGACTGTTCCAGTATTAACTATGAATCCACAAGTGCTAAAGAAAATCATAAAGAATGACAAAGAAAAGATAGCAAGGTGATTAAAATATTAATATTGATGTTGACTGATGTTATTGGTCAGAGTGACATTTAATGTTGAATTGGACCCAGTAGAAAGCTTCAGGAGTGTTCAAAGATTGTCTGAACATCTCTGGACATGTTTGGCAACGCTTGGATGTCTTTGGAAACCATCGGTAATCTTCAAAAGTTGCCGGGCCATTTCCGAAAATCCCAGTCATGATGGAAGGAAAATCTCAAGCATTTGGGTCAGAAAAAGGTGGGAGATTATATTTTAAAACAATTTTGATTTCTGATGGTCGATACCGGAAGTTTGTGATGTTGTGACAGACGTTATTTGTATTCTCGGTAATGGACTGGATTTACCATGCAACTGAGGTTCACGTGGGGGAATCTTTTTTTAATGCAAATGACGTGGATCTCTTTTTAATGATATTCCCCCGCATAAGTCTCCATCTCAAGCTACAACCAGTTGCAAAAATGTTGAGACACTCCCACGGAAAAACGACCTTTCTTGCTTCAAATTGCTCCTGGTCACAGGTTTGTAAGATAAAATACTGACTTCCCTTCTCCCTCCCATTCAAAGTTGTTCCTCCAAGTTTTGAGTATGGTCTTGTATTGCTAGCAACTTTGATAAGGGGTGGAGGGGGATCACAAGCACAAGATCACGGACAGGCCATTTATGCCAAAATACGGTACGGTGTCTCAAGTACTTTTGCAACTGGTTGTAGCTCCAGTCTAATACTGAGAATACGAATAATTATGGTCTATTATACCTTAATTGATTGAATATTGTATAGAGAATCTAAAATGGAAGGAGTAAAAGCTTCAACCACAGTAATGGTGGTTAACGATTCTACTATAATAATCACTTCAAAAACTCCATAAAAAATTACAACTTATCGCAAGCATTTGTATAGTTTTTAAATTAAGGATTGAACAGTTTATAAAACGATTCAATTCCATGTAGCTAAACAATTTAAATTTTTCAAGTATTGTAATATGGTGGTTTTTTTCACAGAGTCTTTTCAAGAATCGCCGTAATTCCCTTCAATAGGGTTTCACCAAAGCAGGACTTCGGGAAGTCCATGACGTTCCAGACGGAAATTAAACCCCTTATTGAGTCAGCCATTCAAAGCATTGGCACTATTCTTGAATTCAGTGCAGCCTTCGCTACAATGCAATCTGACAGTATATTCAAGGAAGTTCTGGCTCTCAGTAATGACCTGAGTGATCTTGACATGAGAGCTCAGTTCAACTATTCTATGTTGCTTTTCTACACAGGAAAGGTACGTTAACGTAATCATTTCTTTCTCATTATAACTGAGGTAACTCAGACTATTGTTAAGACTCTGGATTCTTTTCCGTGGAGAAACCATTTGAAAGTACAGTACAAAATTTACCAATAGAAACAGGTATAATAGATGTCGTTTGGCTAAAAAATACTGTATTTTGAAATTCTGACCTCTCACACAGCAACAAGGTCCTGCCACCTTATAAGTCATGCAGTGATCTGAAAATAACCCCATACAATAAAGAAACTTTTTATTAATTAATAGCAATGTCTGAATGACTAATATTTCATATTTGTTGGGCCATTTCCTTACCGCGGTTTGGACTCCTTGCAAAGTTTTTATCGAAAGTATGTTAACTCAAACGTTTTCAATTTGTTGTTTTTGTTTTATGATGAACACTGATTACATTCTCGTTTAATTTGTGTGTTGTACAGATTCTCGAAAAGCTTGGAATGAAGGATGAGTACTGTCCTCTTGTGAAAGATTGGATGGTACAACGTGTGATTCCCAATCACAAAGCAATCATGGCTTTAGAGAATAAGCCATTGGTGAATACAGATGAGCCAAGCCAAGTTCACGACGAGAAAGACTCAGAGGACCTTGTAAAGAACATTATAAACAAGGCAGTTGAAAATCTTCTGAAGGTAACAATAAAATATAGACATAGAATTAGCCTGTATAGCAGTAATATTCCTTTTCACAAATGGAAAGTATTGGCAGATTTTGATTAATTTTTATCTGGTACATGATAAGGCATTGATTATAATGGTCATAAAGCTCACTGTCAGCTGTCGTGTACCAGTAGCTGAACAATTATCCAGTCACAATTGAAATTATTGTATTTTGTAGGTTCAGTCGTTTTTCAAGCCAAAATTTGTTGCCCAAAAATGTGCATGTGGTGAGGTATTTGGCTTCAAAGTTGTACCTATGCTACAATTTATGAACCTGAAGGATGCACAAGCCAGTGGAGAGGTCCTCAGGAGCTATGTACGACGCACAGGAATAGGGTACAATGGCATAAAATTGCGACTTGTGGATGGCATTCAACACCATGAGACCCACATAAGGAGAAAGGTTTTGCCAACAGATTTATTGGCGAAGCTGGACAGTGGTATGTAGCAGTACCTGTCTTGTATCAGAAAAAGCATTGTAAATTTACTTTATCGACAAATAATGAAAAGATTGCGGGAAATGTTATTTGCATATGTTTTTTTGTGCAGATAACTAGTACTTTATTGGCTTAGATTACGTTTTCGTCATATTTTGAAAATTAGATTTCCTCAGCAAAGTTGCACTTCTTTGTCATGTTTTCTCCCTGTTGAAAGATTTTCCCAGAATGCTTACTATTACATACATAAATGGCCAATTTCTCAACTTCGTTCCCCCTGGGTACAAGGTTGCCCAGTAATATGTCTTTCATGGTAAATATAAAGTGTTCATTTGTCACAAGCGTCAGACAAAAGATAAATTCTGAGCACAGTATTTGAACCGATGTGGACATCCTCGGAGACCCAGGGGCAGCTAGTCAAGACTAGAGAATGTTTAGGACGATAGAATGTTCGCCGCAAAAGTTTACTGTACATTCTATCGTCCCGACTAGCTGCCCCTGGGTCTCCGAGGGTGATATGTGGGAGGCCATGGTTTTGAATCCTGTTGTTGACTCACATTTACTTTTACTTTGTCCCATGCTCATGACAAATGCCAAAATTTCATATCTTAATTTACTACCTGTATTTATTCACCAATTCATAAAAATTACCGTCTTTCATTATTTATCATGTAATTCATGTGAGTCCTGAAATGATGATGTCACCAAAACTAAATTTGTGAAATTATAGGATTTACTCAGATATTCAGAAAGAACACGATAAAAGGCGTACTTTACAAAAAAATCAGTATTTTCTTGCAGTTTCAGAGGGAGATACTAACAATGTTATGCCCTGCTGATGCCATACAAATTTATTGTTAACATAACAACAAGTCAGCAGAGCATAACAGTGCTAATATCTCAGAGCCAATTCGTGTCTATGTGCTGATTATTAGCGAGTTAGCATTTTTCATCTTGCTCTCCTTGAAAATTTGGACAAATCCCATAATTTCAAATATTCAAATGTTTGTGACATCACATTTCAGGACTCTTGTTTATATATCAGTTTGAATCATTTTTTTGTAATACTTATCTTTCATTTATCAGTGTATACAATTCGATAACACAGCAAACGTACAGTTTATTTGCAGCATTTATGCAGAAACCAGATGGTATGTGCATCAACCAGATATATTAATTTAGTGAAAAAACCATATTTTAGTTAATTGCATTTAGGAGACTGAAGTTCAAGGTGGCTTGCAGTCTTAGTTCGACCATTGTTTCTTAAGATTGAGTTCAGTCAGTCATACAGATAAGTACTGCATAAAAATGTTTTTTTCACAACAAAGAACCAAGTGTGACCACTTTAAATTTATTCACATTTTTTCATGCAGACATAATCCAATCAGAAGCCAAGTACAGATTTCTGCAATAAAGAACGTGAATAAATTAAAAGCGCCCTTACCATTGAAACAAGATGGTATGGGTCAGTTATATGGCCCAACTATGGTATCAATATATAATAACAATTAAGTACAACTTGCAAAATTTAATTATTTAATTATCACGCAAAAATACTATCTTTGTTTACTGACATACATTTCAAGGTGATTCTTGTTGTTTTTTTTTTTTCATCATCCCTGTACCTAAATCTGGGGACTTGTCAAAGACTGATAACTACAGGGGAATTAGCCTGATTTGCATTATAGCCAAGATGTATAATCGCCTGATTTTAAACCGAATCAGGAGTGTAATTGACATCCGACTCAGAGTAAACCAGAACGGTTTCCAGCCCAAAAGATCTACAGTGGCCTAAATATTAACACTCAGAAGAATAATCGAGGGAGTTAAAGCAAATAACATTGAAGCTGTCATGACTTTTATTGACTTCAAGAAGGCATTCGACTCAATTCATCGGGGTAAAATGATGCGTATTCTTAAAGCCTATGGGATTCCACCTAACCTATTGCAAGCTATTGAGATGATGTATACGAATACAAAGGCCAAAGTGTTTTCTCCAGATGGAGAAACAGAGATGTTCGACATCACAACCGGTGTACTGCAGGGTGACACATTAGCTCCTTTCCTGTTTATAATCGTGCTTGACTATGCTATGAGAAAAGCTATGGCTGGGAAAGAAGAAGAGTTGAGATTTACCATCACCCCTCGAAGATCAAGAAGACACCCCAAAGTAGTTCTTGCTGACTTAGACTTCACAGACGACATAGCACTATTGTCGGATGAAATAGCTCAAGCTCAGGAATTATTGCTAACAGTAGAAAAAGAGAGCAAGAAAGTTGGCCTTGTACTGAATGCTAAGAAAACAAAATCAGTTGCTTATAACATTGATGATCCAACACCATTACATACACTTGATGGCACTTATCTGGAATGGAAGGATGACTTCAAATATTTAGGGTCATGGGTTGATAACTCAGAAAAAGACATCAGCATAAGGAAAGCACAGGCTTGGAGAGCTTTGAATGGTATGACAAAAATATGGAAGTCCAATATGAGTAAAGATTTGAAAATCAGATTCTTCATAGCCACCATCGAATCAATGTTACTTTATGGGTGCGAGAGCTGGGCTCTGTCAAAAGCACAAGAAAAGTCGTTGGATGGAACATACGGATCACTCACCGTTTCTGGGAAACCAGTCTAGATAGCCTCAGAAAAAATCGTCTCGATAAAATGGCTACTCGATCTGCCAAGAAGACGTGACTCGTTTAAAAAACGAGCCTCCTTCTTGAAACGAGGCTCGTTCAAAAAACGAGTCCTTCGGAAAACGAGACTCGTTCTGCACATGAGACTCGTTTGGAAAGACTCGTTTAACGAGACTGGTTTGGAAAGACTCGTTTAACGAGACCCGGAAAGACTCGTTTAACAGAACTACTCGTTCGCAAAGCGAGACTCGTTAGGAAAACGTGACTCGTTCGTGAAACCAGACTCGTTTCACCAGACTCGTTCGTGAAAGATTCGTTCGTGAAGGGAGGCTAGTTAATCAATTAATTAATTTATCCTTTTTATTTCACTGTAAATGGTAAAGTAATGTAATTATCAAGAAAATTATTTTACTCGCAGTCCTGCGTTGACCAGAAACTCCGGCTTTGAATAGTCTTAACCTTGAAAAACTCAGATTAAGGACCATCAACTTCATATATCGTTGTTGCTGTATTTGTTGATGTCAATGTAGGCAGGGGGCAATGAATTCTTCTTTCATTTAGTGTGTAATGATTTATTTCAAATGTTTTCTTTTTTTCAGCATCTAACTAACAAATTGATTGGCCAAATATTACTAACGTAAATAATAAAGAGTATTGATGTCATTATTCTCGAGTTGTACCTTTTGTGTACTTAAAAATCAGTTTAATTTCTACCACCACTATCTGTTTCATCCACAGAAATATTTTTTTACGAACAATAACCAACAAATGTTTTTTTTTTCAGTATCTAACTTACAAATTGATTGGCCAAATATTACTATCGTCAATAATAAAGAGTATTGATGTAATTATTCTCGAGTTGTACCTTTTGTTTACTTAAAAATCAGTTTAATTTCTATTACCACTATCTGTTTCATGCTCGGAATTTTTTTTTTATCAACAATAACTAACAAATAGGTTGCCCATAAGGTATAATAAAGTCCTTCTACCATTCCATCATTCTATCTAGAATATACAACACGATCTACAATTGATGAAGAACACGATGTCAATGATTAGAATAAATGCAAAAATTGCCAATCGAAATATTGAGTCTGAAAATAACACAAACGTCTAAAAGGTAGAAGCTGTCAGCTGTCAGTGGGCGCTTTCCATTTTAGCGGTGTGAAGTAAAAAAGGAACAACCCTTTCTACTAGAAATTGTTTTGAATTAAAAATGATAATAATAAATGGACCTACTGGTGCCACCAGCAGCATGCCAAATGATAAAATGAATTTCTTGTTGCTAATTGTAGAATCCAGGCTCTCACACACTTGCCCTGTTTCATTTGGCTGTGAAATGAAATTTGCCTTTTCCTTTTCATAATAAAATGTCATCAGTTTTTCTGTCCAGATGGATAGCTGCCTCTGAAAACAACATTATTCACGGCTAAAAAGGATATCATCTATTAACAATGCTTTGCTCCACTAATTGCCCTTGACGGTATATATTTTGTCTATCCAAAAATACACGAATAAAAAAAAAAAGAATATTCACAATACACTACAAATGCGACAAATTTCGGTGAGCCACTTCTTAGGCCGTGCTTAAAAATGAACTTTAAAATCTACCACACCTCGAAATACCCTTATACCCTAATACACCTTATACCCTTTACCACATTCAGACTCGTCAAGAGAGTATAATTGGACAGAGAGGCAAACGCCCAGTCTAGCCTTTGGGATATGTAAATTTCAGTAAAGTTATTATTAGAGACGGAAACCTGTCTCCCGAGAAGTCCACTTATTTGTGTCTCTCATGTCTTTGCTGTGGGTTGTTTTGGGGGTTTGGGGGGGTAAGTTGCCCTACATATTGTCTGATCTCAAGCGATCCAGAAAAAGTAATCAAATGCTTTCTAATACCATTCTCATGTCCACCGAAAACGTGAAATTTTATCAGCCTGGTCCCACGTTTCCAGGCTCGATTAGGAAGTCTATCTACAGAGGGTACATTCCTAAGAACCTGGTCCCAAGTGTCCGGGCTCACGAAGAGCCTGGTCCCAAGTGTCCTGGCTCGATAGGAAGTCTTTCGACCGAGTTTACCTTCCTAAGAACCTGGTCCCAAGTGTCCAGGCTCACGGAGAGCCTGGTCCCAAGTGTCCTGGCTCGATTAGGAAGTCGTTCGACCGAGTTTACCTTCCTAAGAACCTGCTCCCAAGTGTCCGGGCTCATGGAGAGCCTGGTCCCAAGTGTCCTGGCTCGATTAGGAAGTCGTTCGACCAAGGGTACCTTCCTAAGAACCTGGTCCCAAGTGCCGTGGCTCACGGAGAGTCTGGTCCCAAGAGTCCTGGCTCGATTAGGAAGTTTTTCGACCAAAGATGAGTTGGCAAACAAAGAACCTGGTCCCAAGCGACCACGCTTAAAAGCAAGGACATATTCACTGCCTCGTTAACGCCTTTCGTTTTATTGTTGATAGATTCCTAAGAGCCTGGTTCCGAGCGATCCAGTAGGAAGTTATAAAATATGTAATTTTACCACCCCAACACGCTAAAGAGAAAACTGAGATAGAATCCTAAAACCTGGTCCCAAGTGTCCGGGCTCACGAAAAGCCCGGTCCCAAGTGTCCTGGCTCGATTAGGGACTCTATCTACTGAGGGTACGTTCCTAAGAACCTGGTCCCAAGTGTCCGGGCTCACAAAGAGCCTGGTCCCAAGTGTCCTGGCTCGATCAGGAAGTCTCTCGAGCTAGTTTACCTTCCTAAGAACCTGGTCCCAAGTGTCCTGGCTCGATTAGGAAGTCTTACGACCGAGGGTATTTTCATAAGAGCGTGTTTCCAATTACCCTGGTTCAATCAGAAAGTTTTCCCCGAGTGTAGAAAAGGGTTTAAACTATTAAGATCAAATAAATGAGTGCCAATTACGTTGATTTCCTAACTTAGAGTCGAATAATGTTTCCATTTCTGTCTCCTCCTGTACGAATAATAGAAAAATGTTAATTACTACTAGCAACATTTCGCCACTATGAGCGTAGGGGGTGGGTGCTAAGAAGTAAGACAGAAGTCCATTTAGACTATCCACTCCATGAGGAAATCTGATCTCCTTGCAATTTTTCCCATTGAAAATATCTAAGATTGTACTCAGGCTAATGCTGCATTCACAGCGAGGTTTAAACACGTTTTAAAGGTGTTTAGTTAAACAAGGTTTCAAATTTTCTTTTTCATAGAAGTTACTATCGGGTATCAGTTCGTTTTATACTTTCTACCTACTCTTTCAGTAACATTCAGCGTTTCGTTGTGGCTGATCGTTTCCTGGTGGGAAACAACATGGTGACCTCTTTGTAGTGTAAAGTAGTGGGGCAAAGTTTCCTTTGTTCCTGCCCAATCGTAGACTTCCTGTCGCATTGAGAAGAATAACATAAGAATGTGGTAAAACTTTCAGTTATTTACGGTTCTACTTCTCATTAACCTTGAACGTACTTGTTTGTACACAACGCATGTTTTGAGTTTTGTTGCATTGCACTGAGTTAGTAATGCGTTCCGTAAAAATTTAGAGTAATGGTTATGGTTTCTTTTTTAGCGAGTTCGGAGCAAGTCAAAACAAGAGTCATGGGGCTAATTACTTAACTTTGCCTCTAAGTTTGTACCAGGTAATTCAAAAAATACGCAGATAACTTAGATATTATTTGAAACGATTAACTCTTTTTAGATATTGCTGTTCCTTACCTGAAAATGAGCGCCTCTTTTAAATTTCCTCGAGAAGGTCCCCGTTGAGGCACGAATTCGTATTGTCATCCCATCCTCCGGCTCATCGGACAGGCAGGCTTTCCTTGCCTTTTTTTCATTATCCTGCAAAGTCGTTGCAGCTAAGCTTTAATGTTTATGAAGACGTTATTTTCAATGCAGTACGTAAGGGTGGCAAGAATAATGGGAAGCCACTATTGCTTTCGCTTAAAGCCACTAATATGTTGTTTTGATCCAGCCACATACGGCAAACAGGCATAGAGAATAGGCTTCTACTCTGATGATGCAAGTAGTGTTTACCTGTCGCTCAGCCTTTCTTGGCTCATTTTCTTCCTGTTGTGCCTTATCCAATTGCGCTCGACGAAAGTTGTCGTCTTGCTCTTCCCCCTCCGCCCGGAACTTGTCGAGTTGTTCTCTGCGAAATTGAAGTCAAGGCTATTAGATTACTTAACAGTTGTACATCTGCCTATCGAGCCCCATCAGGCAAGCATCACAACACATGCAATTTAAAAATTTTAAAAAAATTGCTTATATACATCTGCATGTATGTACATGTACACTGTTAAGGCCTCGTGGGACAGCGTTCCACATAATAATAATATTAATAATAATAAGTAGTAATAATAAGTAATTAGTATTAGTTCTTCGCCTACGTTTCACCTACTAATAACTAATGAAAGTATAAGCTATGAATTCTCTTCAGCTGGCTACATAAAACTCGCAAATACATGCTTACAATTACACAGATTGCTTCGATTATCAAAGTGTTTGAGACTACTAAAAACACTTACAAAATTGGTGCATCGATCAGCACTCATAAACTGGAAGATAATGGTCGATTCTACATGTACCTTTGCGACGACAGCACTTTGAGGGCGTCGCAAGTCTTTTCCAAGACCTCGGACAACGTGTCATGGATGTCTAATTCCGTAAGGTTTTTATCTGTTATAACACAAGCAGATTACGAAATAAAAATATGTTTTCCTTATTAACAATCACAAAAAAGGTTAGGTTGTGCTATAGTAGCTGAAATTTTTGTTCCATTTGAATTTCCTAGAGGCTGGTTATCAAGAACGGAGAAACTTTGGGGAAAAGTTCCTTGTGTGTGACTTTATAATTCGACCTTGAAGAAGATACGAGGTTACGCGTATTGGCTTGTATGCTTGATTTGAGGTCTGTAAGCAATGCATTCTTCTTTTTAACAAGAGAACGATATCGAAGGAAACTTAAATATATTGTTAAAACCTACCATGAAGTTGCTTCACCAACGTTGACTTCAATGTCGTCGATGGCAGAAGAAACAGCATGGAGTTTGCGGTGTTTCGCACACTAAACATGCTGCAAACTACAAGAGACGGAAATCATGCAATTATTGATTATAGTTATAACGTGTGTCTAAGTACTTTTAGCGTTGCTAGAAGTGTGTAAGCTGATTCAGGTCAATGTGTATGATAGCGTGAAATTAACATTTACCTATTCTACCATTAACTGACGTAGTCTCAGCAATCCAGAACAACCACTGCTGGTTCTTGCTATTCAGCCATCTAAGAGCCCTGAAAATGATCAATTAAATGTCACTGACGCTAAAATTATGTCCACTTTGCCCATTCATAAGCATAATTTTGCAAGTTTAGGTTTGATTTTAATAAACAATCAATAATTATACATAACTGGACACATGTGTGTAACTTAAACGTTCCGATTGGTAGCCCTAATAATCAATCTGCATACTTGAGATGCTCAAACCAGTGCTACTAGCTTCCTCAATAAAAGAACAGTATATCCAAAAACGTTTAGCAGCAACAACTGCACATTTTCGCATTCTCATGTGTTGCACCTGCCTACCTTACAATGCCTTCTCTGATGGCCATGTTTTCCTTTTTAGGGTTTAACAAGATTACCCCCATCGCCTTATTCATTTCGCGTGCCTGCCAGCAAAGCTAAAGAACAATACACAACGTTAAAAAATCACTGCTGATTTTTTGAAATAAACTAGTTTATGTTTATTAGTAACTTTACCCCATCAACCAAAGTGCATCGGTTTTGGTGTTTTTTTTTTCTTATTTCCTTCGTCTAGATTAAGTTTTTTCATTTGTTTCGTTAAACGCTATAGTCTACTTGTTTTGGCCCAATAGCGAATAGCTCTTTGCGGGATTTAAAGGCAAACATTCCATCATTACACGAGTAATGCTGAGCAGGTCGTGAGTTTAGTTATTGTTAATACTAGCTTAATACTAGCCTGACTGCTCCACGTTCTGAATAATACGGGGGTGGGGGGGTTGGGTGGTGGGAGCACTTGAGTAACCAGTTCCCTGTATTCTTTGCTTCAAATACCATCTACCTTTGCGCGTGTGACGGAAAAAAGGTACATAACTTTACCTCGTGGAAAGAGTCCACCAGAAAACACGGCAAGAATGTGTCCTCTGCCTTGCAGGCAGCCAGAAGTCGTTTTTCTAAACGAATCACTTCATTCGTTCTTGAAGGTAAGTTGGAACTGTCTTCAGGGTAAACAACGAAAGCAAATTCCAATCATAATTTTTCCTCCATAAAGGCCTTACATCCATAGTATAAACTTTCACTCAAAAGCTTTGTATAGTTTCAACGAACTATGGGTGATTAAAAGTTTCTCTTACCTCCCAACCCTTGGGGCGACAGGTCTTCTTTGACTGTCCCAACTGTTTTTAAGTTGAAATTCAAAAGAAAAGAAGAAAACATTACTTTAGCTGTCGTAATAAAAAAATTGAATCGATTAACAATAATTAATGCTTCGAGTACCTTTTGAGGACAAGAAGTTGACAATAATCAATAATCAGCACAATTATTGTTCATGTCAATTATGAATATTTGTTTCCACGAAGCTTCACGTAGCAGATACATTACTTTGGCTGACACTGCCAAAACACACCTTGCCCTTTAATTGGCACGAGTCTGATAATTGAAGCTTACCGACTAACCAGAAGCTTGCTTGTCACCTTGAAAAGGTGATAAGCTTCTGCCTTGACCTATTAGCGAGGAGGCATTTTAAAACCAACAAGAGACTGTAGCATTTCAGAATTTCAGTAACAATGAAACTGTATTTCAACAAGAGCATCCACATAATATGAAAAAAGGTCATGAATGACAATTCTTTAAAGACCATACATGACGTTACCTTTGGTGCCTTCACTGTAGAAGGGTGTGCCAAAAATACCTAAAAAAAAAGTAACAAGCATGGACCCTTGCACAAAGAACAATTCACATTTGAGAGGCGGTGATATGGTATGGGGTGTGTAGATTTACTTTGCTTAAAAAATGTGGGATTTTGAAATGTTAACTCGGCATATTAAATAGTGGAGTGACACAGCAAATCAAAATGATCCTTCTACGGGAGGGTAAAAGGAGCACACTGCTGCTATAGGTTAATGTAATGTGTGTAATTCTCTTTTCTTCACAACTGTAGTTAACTCAGTATCCTACATTTGCATCTTCTCAAACAGGGTATAGTGTGTGTGGCTACCAGAACATGGTATATAAAGGGCTATTCACCTCCAAAAAAATGCAAGCCCAAAAAAAAATAATAATACCCGTATTTATTCACTTAATGCTTGTTTGATCAAAAACTGCTCAAAACTCGGGGTGCATCTTATAACCGAGTGTTTTCGTGCAACAGAATATAACTTTTCCAAATTTCCCCTAAACAACAAATTTAATAAACTACAAATGCTAAGAAAAGCAACACGATTGTTGTTCATGGCTACCGCTTCTGTTACGATCTTCAACTTGAAGTTTAGGTCATGCTATTGTCCATGTGTGACTTTTTTACTATTGTTTGCAATGTGTGACTTTTTCACTTTTGTTTGGAGAATGAAAGCACAGTAATTAGTACCTTTTGGAAGCAAATTCTTGTAAGTACCGCGAACGTGGTCAACAAAATTTCACGTAATTCTGGGTACGCCTTATAACAGGGTATTTAGGTGAAATTTTCATTTTGCTTACTTGTCACAATTGTCTTCAAAAGTTTAGGGTGCGCCTTATAAGTGAATAAATTTGGTAATTGTTGACTGGAATAACTGAGTTAAAAATAATCAGTTTGGTGTTACATGTACATCATCGCACTTTTTTATTTTCTAATAAAACAACTATTCACCTAAGTGTTGCGGCAAGCGGTGGATATTTACCTTGTCGCTCTGTGGCTCGACAAAATTAATAGCCACCACTAGCAAACTCCACTTCGGTGAACAGTTATTAGTACCTAACTCCTACTATGTACCTTTGGAATAACTGGATACAGTTGTAGTTTCTGTTGCAGATGGAGGATATCCTTGCCAAACTGAGTAATGAATGACACACTTATAAATGCAGATCATGTCATTTTTTTTAGATTATTAAAAGAAGTAATATCCATGCCTTCTTAAGAAGTAGTAAGCCCAATTTTTTAAAGTCTATACCATTATTTCTTTTCTTTTCTTTTCCTTTTTTTTTTTGAAGGGGGGGGGGGGTATGGACAAATTTATATTCATCTGAAAAAAAGAGGAAACCTCTATTTTACAGGCTTCACATTCACCCAGTTGCGATGATTTTCAACCTGTAAAACAGCATAATCTTTTGATATGAGAGTGTGATACACTCTGTCAAGTATCTAGGGGAAAGTACAAAGACTTTTGTCTCTAACAGTATATTGTCCTTTGGCAAAGTTCCTTCTTCATTTATTACATGATCATAGAACTTGGGGTGTTGAGACTACAATAATGTGGCAAAACTCACGTCCCAACCCCAGCACTTTCACCAATCAGACAAGATTAATTTACGTATCAATGATGTCACAGATGATACGGTAAATGGTTAAGTTTAAGGTTGTATTGCAGGGACTAATTAGAACAAAGTTCCTACCATGACTCTGGTCCAAATCTATCACCTCTGTATGCGAACTCCGAGATAAATCAACATCTGTTGAAATATACATTGACATTAATCAAAAGTGACCATGAGATATCAACATTTTGTCGTACAAATTATGGCATCTTCCCTGGGCATTAGAAATGATTTTTATATGAAAGTTAGGGGCACTTTCTTCATATTTAACAGACTATTCAGAATGTTATTACAGGAAAGAAGGTTCTTAGCAACTCTGAGATTGTCACATGACTTGCATGTAAATTGTAGTTTTGAGTGACATGGGAATCTGTGGAGCCAATTTTGACAGTCTTACCTTGAATAAGGTCCACATCTATCACTTCCTCAAATGGACTCTGTAGTAAATTAGCATCTGTTGAAATATGTGTTGTGAATATTTTTATTTAATTTATGTTAATTTATTGATGTCTGCGTAATATTGTAGTCACGTGATCTTATTGCACCATCAAGTAACCCGAGACGCGGGAATATTTTTGTCAGTAAGCATTTTCGATTTCGACTATTAAACATGATCAGTTGTGTTTACTAAATGGCGCCCAACGTGGGGCAGATTTTCGATCGCAATGCCTCCCAAAAAGGGTAAACCGAAGTCAAAAACACACGAGATATCAAGTACATCGAGTATGCAAGCGAATACATCGAATTTGGAACGACTGCGAGTTATACGTGAAGGACACCGACGATATGTATCGAAACTGGATCAAGAATTCACCGAAATGTTGCAAAGCGAAGACAAGGATTACGAACGGCTCAATGTTATGAGACAACTCTTGGATGGAAAACAAGAGTCGCTTAGCGAAATGGACCAAGAGATATTATCTTTATGCGAAGTTACAACGATTGCTAAAGAAATCGAAGAGTCACAAGAATTTACTGCCTCAATTATACGTCTAAAATGCAAAATCGAGAATGCGAGAAAGGTGAACATGCCAACCCAGCAACACGTGGGATCTCCTCAAACGACGTCACAGCCAGTGAATCAAAATGCAGTCCGTGCAAGATTACCGAAGTTGTACCTGCCGAAGTTTAGAGGATATGTGACCAAGTGGAATACCTTCTGGCATTCATTTCAATCGGCGGTTCATCGTAACAAAGGGATTTCCAACATCGACAAGTTCAACTACCTCAATTCTGTCCTTGAAGGGGCCGCCGCTCGAGCTATTCAGGGTCTTACCTTAACCGAAGCGAACTACAACGCAGCAGTCAAATTATTACAAGAACGTTTTGGGCGTCCCCAACAAATTATCAGCGCACATATGGATCAGCTTCTCAAGGTTTCGCCGTGTTCTAATGATCGCCCAGCCAGTCTTCAATACGTCTACGATCAAATTTGTGTTCATTCCCGCGGTTTGGCATCGCTCGGCGTAACTTCAGATCAATATGGAAGTCTCCTAATTCCTGTTATTATGTCAAAGTTGCCATCTGAGATTCGATTGCAGATAGCCAGGAACTCTAAGGATTCTGTATGCAAAATGGAGGAGTTGCTAAACGTGATAAAGGTTGAAGTCGAAGCGCGGGAAGCAAGCGAGATGACCATGGCGAAAACAAGCGAAGGCGGGAAAGTTCAACCACCCGGCCGTGATTCAAAGTTTCGAAATCAAACGCCAACCGCGAATTCACTCGTCTCTCAGCAAGGTGGGAACTTCAAAATCAAATGTGCCTATTGTCAAAACGAGCATTACTCTGCATCATGTGGTGTGGTAAAAGATACCGCTCAACGAAGAAGTATTTTGGAAAGGGATAAACGATGCTTCAATTGTTTGCGTTTTGATCACTGTGCGAAAGAGTGCACGAATCCAAAAAAATGCCGACACTGCCAGCAGCGGCATCATCAGTCAATTTGTTCAATGCTTGACCAAGGGAAACCGAAACCAAAAGAAGTTTCAGCCGAAGAGACAACGACAACAACAACAGTGAGCAACAAGGCAAAGGGAACTGTGCTCTTACAAACAGCGAAAGCCATGGCTGTCAATGTTGTCAGTTCTAAAGCCGCACCAGTTAGAATACTTTTGGGATACCGGAAGTCAACGCACCTACATCACAACCAGATTAAAATCGAGGCTTAATCTGTCCCCTGTCAAGTCAGAAACATTGCATCTTAACACCTTTGGAGACGAAAGATATACGAAGCAACAATGTGATGTTGTGAACTTGCGGTTCCAAGGATCTCAAGGAGAAATCAAGATATCTGCACTATGTTTCCCGAGGATTTGCTCGGCGGTGTCAGCTAAAGTTAACATCGACAATCACGTACATCTGCAAGGTCTCGAGCTTGCTGACATGAGCATTGCTGAAACAGGTCAACAGGACATAGATGTGCTAATTGGATCTGATTATTATTTCGATATTGTGTCTGGGGATGTCATTCGTGGCTGCAGTGGTCCCGTAGCAGTTAGCAGCATGTTCGGATGGGTCTTGTCTGGTCCCACAAGTGCTGAAGAATCAAGAGAGAAGTTTGCAACTACAAATCTCATCATAGAGAGGCCGGAATTGATGACCTTGAGCCCATTTGACATCAGTCATAGTGAGAACGATGAGTTATGTAATGCCTTGCAGAAATTCTGGGACATTGAGTCATTAGGAGTACGAGAGAAGCCACCCGTGTCACAGTCAGATGGTGGAGAGTTCCTGGAGAGTATTCATTTCAATGAGAATGAAGGAAGATACGAAGTTGGTCTGCCTTGGAAGGAAGGCCTTGTTCCTGCTTCAAACGAGTACGAATTGTGTGTTACAAGATTGAGACAGCTTCACTCGCGACTGAAGAAAAACAAGGAGCTATTGAGAGATTATGACAATGTGATCAAGGATCAAGTCAAATCCGGGATAATCGAAGCCGTACCAGAACACAACTACGACCAAGCTCCAATGCATTTCTTACCTCATCATGGCGTAATTCGGTCGAACCGGGAAACTACAAAATTGAGAGTTGTATTTGATGGTTCAGCCAAATCTGACAAGTCAACTGCTTCAATTAACGAGTGTTTAGAGAAAGGACCGAACTTAGTGCCACACCTATTTGATATTGTGGTTAAGTTTCGAGGGTATCCAATTGCTGTAGTAGCTGACATCGAAAAGGCCTTCCATCAGATACAGATCAACCCAGAAGACAGAAGTATGCTGAGGTTTCTATGGTTCGATGACATTGAGAAAGATCGTCCGCAAATCAAGCAATACCAGTTTCGAAGGCTTGTGTTTGGCTTAACTCCAAGTCCAGCTATCCTGGCAAGTACCATAAAACTCCATCTGTCCAAGTACAAAGAAAAGGAACCAGAAGTAACATCTTTGTTAAGTTCCAGCTTCTATGTTGATGATCTGGCAGGAGTGTTTCGCGAGAATGAAACTGTGAACTTGTACGACAAAGCACAGGAAATCATGAAAGATGGAGGATTCTCACTGCGTAAGTGGAATTCTAACTGTCAGTCCTTCCGCGAAAAAATCAAGCAGGATGAAGAAAGAAGAGGACCGTCAGTTTGGAAATCCCCTCACAAAGAAAGTGAAAGTACACAAAATCTCAAGAAAGAAGAGTCATCGAGTGCCAAAGATGATAAACTGGAAACAGAGCAATTGGTGAAGATTCTCGGGATTTACTGGGATGTCATTCGAGATGAATTTCGCTATGACCTCTCTGAGTTGATTGAGTACGCAGAAGCCCTTCCAGCTACCAAACGATGTGTTTTGAAACTGTCAGCCAAAATCTTTGATCCGATTGGACTGTTAACTCCATTTACAATAAGCATGAAAGTCCTTTTTCAAAATTTATGTGTTGAGAGGGTCAATTGGGATGAAAACTTGGAAGGAGAAGCTTTAGCGAAGTGGAAAACGTTCATTAATGACCTAAATGCTCTGAAGAACATTCAAGTTCCCCGATGTTATGCCAATTACTCACCAGCGCAGTCAGCAGTACGCTCCTATCAGATCCATGGATTTTCAGATGCGTCAAAAAGAGCCTATGCAGCTGTTGTGTACCTGAGAACCGCATTCAGCAATGGTGAAATCCAAGTCAACATCATGACATCCAAGACGAGAGTAGCGCCGAGTAAACGTCAGTCAATTCCCAGGTTGGAACTGCTAGGAGCTGCATTGCTAGCCCAACTAGTTCACTCAACGCAGCAAACGTTACAATCCGTTCTTCCAATTGAAGGAACATTTTTGTGGACCGATTCATTCACCACGCTGTGTTGGATAAAAAATGCCAAAGCATGGAAACCTTACATACAACACCGGGTCAGCAGGATACGAGAACTAACTAACGAAGCCAACTGGAATTTCTGTCCCGGGGAGTTGAACCCTGCTGATCTACCATCACGAGGATGTGGAGGAGAGCAATTAGCACAAAACCAGACATGGTGGAATGGGCCCAAGTTTCTGAAGTTAGTGAGAGAACATTGGCCTGAGTCGCCCCAAACAAGTGCTTTGTCTGATGACGAAGAAGCCCTTCAAGAAGTTCTAAAAAGCCCTGTGAGTGTCACGCACTCTCTGGTCACGACAGAGTCAGAAGACCATTCAATCAATCTCAGTCAAGTCATTGACATTGAACAATACTGCAGTGTAACACGATTATTCCGCGTGACAGCCTACCTATTACGGTTCATAGGTAATGCGAAGAACAGTGTATCAAACCGTGAAATTCACAAGCTACCAGAACATTCGTCAAAAAGGGAACTTAATGCTCAAGAGTTAAATCAGGCTGAAATGCTGTGGATCAAGACTGTACAGAAAGCCTCATTTGCCAAAGAACTCGAATTTCTTCAAAGCAAAAGGGGAACATTTCCACCCGTCTATGTCACGCAATTCAACTTGTTCCTTGACAACCAACACATCATCAGATGCAAGGGGAGAGTAAACAAAGCACCGCTCTCTGAAGAAAGCAAGAATCCAATCTTACTTCCATCTAAACACCCACTAACTAGTCTCATCATCCAGGATGTGCACTCCAAGATTAAACACAGTGGTATCAAGGACACCTTAACCACTATTCGAGGACGATTCTGGGTACCAAGAGGTCGAGAAGTTGTGAAGAAAATTGTAAGAAAATGTACCATCTGTAGAAGAGTAGAAGGAGCTCCATACAGACCACCACCGACTCCAGATTTACCACTGGAACGAGTGTCTCTAGACCCGCCGTTTTCCCACACAGGATTAGACTTCATAGGTCCTTTGTACATACGTGATGGAAGGTCTTCAAAAGAAACGGGCTCCGACAAGGTGTACATTTGTTTATTCACTTGCGCGTCCACGAGAGCGATTCATTTGGAACTGACGCCTTCTCTGAGCGTTGATGCATTTCTGTTGGCCTTTCGTAGGTTCGTTAGTCGCCGGGGATTACCAGTCACCCTTCTGTCTGACAATGCCAAAACCTTCAGATCCGCATCCAAAGATATAAGGAAGATCATACAATCAGACGAGGTTACGCGATACTTAACTGACAATCGCATCACATGGAACTTTATCGTTGAGCGAGCTCCTTGGTGGGGGGGTTTTTGGGAACGGATGGTTAAAGTTGTGAAGCAACCATTGAAGAAAACAGTGGGACGCTCTACGTTAAACTATGATGAGCTACAAACCACAATGGTGGAGATCGAAGCAATCGTAAATGCACGACCGTTAACATATGTCTATGATGATGAAGAGTCAGTTTCCACTCCACTTACGCCATCTCATCTAATTACTGGTAGACGAATTACTAGTGCACCAAGTAACCAGCATTTCGAAGTTGTTAGTGTTAATCAGACCTTGACAAAGAGAGCTAAGCATCACCAACGATTACTGCCATCAGTTCACCAAGAGATGGCAGCACGAGTATCTTTTGAGTCTACGAGAGCGCTCTAATGAGAGATGTAAGAAGCAAAACAAGGAGAGCCCAATCTCAGTAGGTGACATTGTGATCGTGAAGTCTGATCTGACGAAAAGAACATTTTGGAAACTGGCAAAGGTTCAAGAACTGTTACCGGGTAGAGATGGTCAGATTCAATCAGCAAGGGTCAAGGTTGCTGGCAAAGGGGATCGAAAGCCACAAGTATTACGTAGAGTGATACAGGACTTAATTCCTGTTGAAGTTTCTGAGTGAACATTGAACTGAACTGTACATGAGATGAATTCAAAATTGTGTCTTTTCAAACAGTGAACTTTGTAGACGACGAAGCTCTTTTGACATTTATTGAATAGTGGACATTCAAGATTTATACTGTTGAGTCAAAGCGTTTTATCACGAAGTCGTGATGCAACCCTGGGGAGTGTTGTGAATATTTTTATATAATTTATGTTAATTTATTGATGTCTGCGTAATATTGTAGTCACGTGATCTTATTGCACCATCAAGTAACCCGAGACGCGGGAATATTTTTGTCAGTAAGCATTTTCGATTTCGACTATTAAACATGATCAGTTGTGTTTATTAAAATATGCATTGACATATCACGAGCAGATATTACGTGGATACTTCCAAACATAGAGTGAAAATTTAGGTTGGATGGCTAAGCAGAGAAAGAACTTGACCATTTTTTTTTTCACTTGTTCATTATTAATTTTTTCTAAGCTTATCTTTTCTTATTGACTGAAACAACATACTATTGTACTGGTTCGAAGTCATGAGAAGCAATGTAAACAAGCATGGGTGAATGTATTCCAGGAGGAATCATGTGGCTCAGTATTGTTTAAGAATTCCAGGTGTCGTGCTGGCTTACATGTATGCTACCGGGTTAGTTCTTTCGTTTGTGGCTTCTGCATTAATTTTTTAGAGCCTATCTAAAACAGCATAATGGCACATTTTGTAAATATACAATTGAAAATATGCAATTTTGGGTTACTTTTGTCAGAACTATTAATTTTTGGGAAGGTCATTTGGCTTTATAACTGTTTTTAACCTTTCACAATCGTAGTTTTGAGGCTAATTTACATTATACTCTGGCATGTTTCCTATTCAAACTTACCATTGGCTGTTTTTATGCTAGAGACGTTAAAGTCGTCTGAGACGTTAAAGTCGCCTTAAGACGACTTTGACGTCTAGTATAAAAACGGTAAATAAGGCAGACGACTTTAACGTCTGGCGCCGCTTTAACTCGTGTCCAGTGTCTTCTGAGAGTAGAGCCTAGTCCTTTTTTCAGAAAAATCTACTTTTTTAAATAAGGTCGTCTACTTTTGTGTGTCCCGTTTTACACTATACAACTTTAACGTCTCAGACGTTTAATGCGTCTAGACGACTTTAACGTCTCTAGCATAAAAACGGCCATTGTCCATCTGCTGTGTACTGGCGGACTGACTTAGGGCAGTTAAGTATTGTCTTGTTTCAGCTGGAAAAATTAATGTTCATCTTTTGATTAAATTATGCCTGAAAAATACCCTTTGTCCTATTTGAAAGGCACTTTAACCCTTTGGCTCCTAAGGGGTCTCCATTTCACAAGTAGAATCGTCTGGCATTAAAGTAACATCTTTAAAGTCACTCTAAGGGGGAAAAAAGTTAAGGGAGATAGCTTTTTAATTAGAACTTAAGAATCGGCTGTCTTTTGGTTTTGATAACAAGGTCTCAGTTTATTGTTTCATTCTTAAATTATTTACTACTGCAACCCAGGTAACAACAAAGACATAATATACTTAATTGCTAGCTGTGGAAGATCTTGACGATCCCTATATAAAACAATCACTTTCAGAATTATAGGAAAGAAAGAATGCACTACGAATTGAAAATGGCTATTAGAGCCTGTTTTGAATCCTAATTCCATTTGCCTTTTCAAATAAACTGAAACAACCTGTCGTGTATTTACAACTGCCAAGTTCTTTTCGAATAGGGGTCCTACCGGAGTATGTGTAAATGCTGTGATTTTAGCAAAGAGGTTGTCTATCAGATGCTTATTTTACCTTTGCAATACAGATGGGTCGTTTCTGTATAATTTTTAATGCTCTCCATTGAATATAAAATCAGTGTGTTTGTTTTTCTTTTGCTGTGTTTTTTTTTGTTCTTTTTTTAGTGATAACTTGGGAACGCAAGTGGAGGCAGATTTCTTTGCTACATGTTTATACTTGCCTGCATCTCTAGGTACAACTGCGTTTGTCCTTCCTTGTGTGGCAGATGCAGATCCTATATCATTTCCAGAGTTGGACCTCTCTGAAAATGAAAGCAGTCAAAACATTACAACTCTGCATACTGTGACTGGAACTGGCAATGGGAGGTACTTGTCTCTGATATGTAAACTTCAACTACAGGTGTAAGCTGTTATTGAGTGACTCTGCTGTTTGAAAAGGTTGGCCTCAGGTAGAAGTCTCAACACTTTAATTCAGACAAAGAATTATTTGCATACAGAAAGATATAGAACTGAAAGGAAAAGAATGAGTTTTAAATGTCTGTGAGTAAATGAAAATTGTGTTAACATTTAAATGTCAGTACCTCCATTCTCATCATCATTCTTCAGAATGAGGTAGACCCTTTTAGACGTGCCTCCTTTAAACTTGTGCAACAATTGTGTTGCATCTGGCATGTTTTTGGCCACCTTCTTCAAGATGCTACCCCTGCTGCCAGATTTGTAAAGGCGTATGCTGTCACAAAAAAAGAAAAACTTAGAAGAAAATGAGACTGTGCTGCCAGGCAACACTCTTGGTGAAAGTTCATCACACAACAGGCAAGGAAGCTTCTGAAGCAGTATGAGAAAGACAATTACAGTATATAAATTAATATAAATTAACCTTATACTAAAAAAATATTGGACCACTGTTTGTCAAGCATACACTGAAAAATTACCATGGTGCTCCTCTCTGATTTGTGTGCATGGCTGTGGTCTGGTATCCTGGTGCCTTAGTCACCCAGGTTTTCCTTTGGGCAACTTGTTTTATGAAAGCTGACAAGTAAGAGCTGAGCACCCCAGATTTCCTTTAGTTCAATTCTGCTTAGAGCACAGCCTTGCCATGCCCCTGAAGGGCCAAAATTTTTTTTGAGACCGCCCCTTCCCCCCTTATCTAAGGGTTTGGATGACCCCCCCTCCCTATCTCAAGGTCTGGATCTGGCACTGGTTAGACGTCAATAAGTGCAATGTTTTCTCTCGTAACATAGTAAAGTAACTTATCCTACCCCATCAGGTCTAACTTGTGATGTGGTCTACACTCTGTATCGCACTTCTTTTTTACAACATTGGATGAGGGGAAGTAGGAAACAAGGCATGCTTGAGAGATTTAAGAGTGTTATAGAGTTTTCTCGCAACACGTTTTGTCTAAGATTGTAGGTAGCAGAGCTCGGGGATATCACATTTGGGTCTGTGGCTAAAACTGAGCACTTGACAATGAAATCCCGCAAGCTATACAGGGTGAATACTACAATACATTCAACGTTTTGGTTAGTCACTGAATTGTGTATGCAATAAAACTGCCAATAATTGATAAGTATTGCTTTTTACCCAAGCAGCTGATAACTTTGGTGTTTCATAGTCTGCTCCATTTTGTTAGTTCTTCGTATAACACTTGATATGCTTTTGAAAGACTATATTTGCAGTCAATAATAAAATAAAATTGATCGATAATGCCATTTGCTTGTTCTCAATTATCTTTGGTTGTGCTTGATATTTTGATAACACGTGGGGGAAATTTAAAAAGTAACACAACGAATTATAGAGAAAGAAACAAATGGAAGTTCTGACGAGTTAACTTCAAAATTGTATTATTTTACTGATGGTTGATTTTTCTGTGCTCCACGCACGCGCACTCGCGCTCCGCCCTCGCTGTGATCCACTCCCTTCGTTTCGTGAACTCGAGGAGTGCGAGAATATCACGTTTCCGGACACTGACAGAAATTCTTTGGTCAGCCCAAAAAGTTATTACGCACGACAGTGCCTTTAGTCATTGTACAACTTCAAAATTATTGCTTAAGATTTGCTTTAATCAAACGCATTTTGCCTGGACAAGCAGTATTTTTCCCGGGAGGCGCATCTGCTTACGGCTTTGTTACGTAATTTTAGAGGCCAGAATGTTCCGTTTCGCGGCACAATCATAATTTTTTCTACAGATGGAGCTTACCTTTTGAAGTCAACTTCTGCCAATTCGGGGAAGTTCTCTTTTATTTTGTCCCTCATCTGACGTTCGGTGAATTTCCTCCCGAACTCGATCTCCTTTACTCTTCCCTCGCGATTTAGTTCTTCCCAAGGCCTTCCACGTGGGACTGCTTTAGGTAGACCCCTCAACCATACAAAGGTTCTCGACGATTTCGGTCCAGTTCGTGCAACAGAGGGAGATGCGGGTCTCTCGCTATCACTAGAGGAGCTAGATTCCGCCATGCCTGAAAGGTAAACTGAAGCGCTCAAAGTGCGGAGCCTAACAGTCATATTATATTACAAGCTGAGAAGAACAATGACACTTCCGGCGTATGTGAACCGCCCTTCAGTAGTCAAAAGTAGTGTGTGTCCCAGATGTTGATAAACCTCCTTAAAGACAACGTACAATGGTATCTTTCACTAAATTTTCACGAAGTTGCATATCGACTTTCATTATATCTGTTCACTCTTTCTCTTTAATACAACGTTTTGACCAAAATGAACAAAACAATAGACGCTTATCAAGTGGTTAATATGTTACATAGCCTTCGCCTGGTCTCCGGGGAGGGTCAGGTAGCTTGCTTCGAATGTTTCTGGCCGCGCGAGCAAAAGGTTTGAAGTAAAGGTATGGCGTTACCTCGTTTCCCCGCCAACACCCTGTTCCTTGGACCTTTTTGCTCTCACCCCGCTCGCGCAGACAGAAACATTCAAACCGGAAAGCTGTCTATGCAGGTTGAGATAGGTCTTACTGAGCTGGACAATTTTCCGAGAAAGAAAAAAAAATCCTGTCAGTAATAAATTAGAAACCCTGTCATTCCACAGCTGAGAACTCTCCACAATTTTTAATCTACCACCAGAACTGTATGCAAACGTTCAGCCAACACAGTTTTGCAGCCTCGCGGGAGTGGAATAAACTTTCCTCGACTCTGCTCTTACTGTTCGTGTGGGTCAAAATCGTCTGAGTTCGATTTGGGATTTGAGCATTTCATCATTATTCCGGTACGCACAGAAATATATATTAGTTTGGGTACTCCTCCTTTTTCCATCTTCCTTATTTTATTTCTTTATTTTTACTGGTAACAGTTTTTAAGACACCCTACATGATCCTCCACGAACTATGTCTCTCTTATAAGCATGCAGGGTGTCTTAAAAAAGGTGATGTTACCAGTAACTGAATAAAAAATAAAATAGTGAAAATGAAAAAAGGGAGGAGTACCCAAACTAATATGTATTTCTGTGGCAAACGCAGCACGTTGCTCAAAATGCTTATAAGAGAGACATGGTTCGTGGAGGAGCAACAGTGCAGCGTTTTTACTAGTTTTAAAATGAGCTCGTTCCTCCGTCTCCCTCCTCATTCAGTGTTGTTGCTTTAACTTTGGTGATTGCTTGTAGAGGCAGAAAATTCCGGCAAAATCATTGATGAGAGGGGGAGGGGAGGAAGGGGGACGCATATTGGGAATTAACGCAAGTTACTCAACAGTTATGTCCGGGATTGTAGATAGGTAAGCAGGACATCTTAGCCCACCACAACCAACCGAGCATAACATAACGATATCAGAAGACGAGCCCAGAGTGTCGTCGCTTTTGAGCATCAAGTCCCTGTCCAGCCATCCTCCGTCTATTGACCCGATCAATAAGAAGACAGACAGACAGCCTTTATTTCAGCACGATGTTAATAAACGCTATGCAGCTTATGAGGTCATGCATAAATACTAAACCTAAGAACGAAATATATGCATAATAACGTAACATAATAAAGTAACTATCTAAAAGTCAAATTTTTGAAAACAATGACTGAACTATAAATATATATATATATATATATATATAAATTAAGTGGAGAAAAGTAAAGCAAGCTAGGTCTTACTCTAATGTCAACAAGAAATGTAATCTCTGCCTGTGGGAGAAATACTTTATTATTTGCAAACCGGAAATGTCGACACTCAATCGTAGAAACGAACTGTCATCGATCTGTAGACATTCTAAGAAATTTCTTTTAAATACCGCGATAACCTAATATAGATTTACCTGTTCGTTAAGCATTTTAGCCGTCCAATCAGAATTCTTACGTCTTTTCAAATTTGTATATCTTTACATGTGACCGCTAATGTTGTCAGTCGCCTGATGATTGCTTCTCTAGAAGCATGAAACTCCGAGTAGCGATTAAATGTTTTCGAACTAGTCCGACTCCAGAAGTTCATCTTTTATCTATTTACAGCTCTAGTGTTACCATTGAGCACTCTTATAGCAGATGAAGTCTTCATTTTATCTACTTATAGTTATATATATATATATATCCTAAAAATACTGAAATCTGTACGTCTAAAAATTATGTACTTGTGGAGGTCTCTTTGAAAGTCAACTCTTTAAAAATGCCATTGAAGGGGTTTTCCTCTTCGGGTTTTTATAACTTGTATTAGAAAAATTCTTGTCCTTAGAAATTAAAATATTCCATAGTACAGGGCCTCTATGAGCTATAGAGCGAATCGAGGAATTCTGGGTGGTGTAAAGTTTATATACAGAAGAAGGAACAGGGGCACCCAACGGCAATTTTCGGGAAAATATCTGTTCGGAAGACGATTTGAGATCTAGAATTTTCGGAGCATTTGTTGTAAAATTTCGTGCTTGCCTGCCTCTCCTAGGATTTTCGAACATCTACAAAATGGTATAATTACCCATTTTGAACGGATTTTGACCCTAAAAAAGGCCACCTAGAATTTTCGGGAGCCTTTTCCTGGCTGAAATTTTCGAGAAGGTAAGTTTTTATCCCTATGATTTTGGGATCACCAGACTTTCAGCTAGGAAATCCGAACAGATGAAACGTTTTTAGGGGATAAAAATATACCTATATCTACCGTTTGAATACTAAAATACGTTCAACAATGCTATGTTAAGTGGTAGTAGTGATAGTGGTCACTGGGGGACTCAAAGGATGCCGCCGCCGCGCTATTGTTTTGGGCTATTGTTCTCAGATTTGATTGACAGGCTATTGTTTAAGACTCATCAAAAATTCAAGATGGCGGAGAGCGCTCGGAGAGTGTTCGGAACTTAGTGACTTATGATTACGTAAAGGTGAATTTATATAGGTAGATCAAGGTCATGACTCACGCATGTGGGACAGAATGTGTCTTGTGTACTACGCATGCGCAGTATCGAATCTTGTGTAAAAACGTTCTAAAACGTTTTTAAACTAGTCTTAAATGTTTATTAGGGTTATAAGTAAAGAAAAAAAGTCTTTCCCAACCTTGCTAGCATCGCAAGATTAAGAAAGAACGAGCTGACCGGGAATCGAACCCGGGTCACCTGCGTGACAAGCAGGGATACTAAACCACTGTACTATCAGCCCCTTTCCGAGTTGATTTACTACACAACAAAGTAGTCAGTTGAACAATGTTTATTATAGTGTGATTTTATTGCTACAGAATATGTTTCCGAAGGGAAAATATAACACAAGCATTTCACGAAACGCTTGACAGCTGAAGAATAGAATTACCTGTCGTCACAAGAAATATTGTGGGACTAATATCAGAGTCCCATGTCTACATTGCGACAAGACGTTTTCGAGGAAGGACAAAATGACTGCCCAGCATGTAAAAGAAACACAGCGAATGATGAAGAAAAGCAGGAGTACTTTGTTGGATTGGAAGCAAAACGTACCTCTGTAAAGCTAGACAAGCCTATCTACACTGGCTTCACAGTCTTGGAGCTTAGTAAACTTCACATGTACGATTTTCATTATAATCACATAATGAAAAAGTACGGGACTGAGAAAGCGAAGCTAAAAACCTTTAACTCATAAAACAGATAAAAATTTAAATGGGTTACAAAGTTCCTTGACATCCTTGTCTTCTTGTTTTGGTAGATTTAAACTTCGTTTAAAAGTCTCTTGCAATTCTAAAAGAGCCTCAGGGTAATCGTAAATGTTTCTCACTCCAATGATGGCAGTTTTCTTCACTAGTGTGGGTAAAGCGTACTGTTCTTCTGACATCTGATCACATGCGGTAAACAAATCTTGGTGAGAATTATACCATAGCCACATGTTTCGCTCCACATCATACACATACAAAACTTTGTTGAGGACTTTACTCATTTCTACTGCCCAGCCTGTTCCGCCCATGCAAACTTTTCTTTGGGGTTGAAAACAAGTAAATGCCAGCACCATGTCTGCTTGTTTCACCACATGATAATTTCGGTGTATATACTGTAAACTGATTGGGTTGGTTAACTGTTTGTTGAGACGATTAGCCACTTGTGTTGTGAGAGGAATCGCTTCAGCTAATTGTTGATGAGTTAAGGGTAGTATGGAGGCTTTTCTCGGATGGCAAGGAGGTATGAGGACATGTACTGGTAAACCATAGTATCTTGCTAACTTTTCTGCCTCTAAATCCACACCATTGGTGCCACCAGAGATGACAGTGAAAGCCATCGTAGTATGGTTGATGAGTAGAACCAACGTGAGTTTTATAGAAGACCATTGACGTCATTGCCCGGACATGTTCAAATCCCAAAGGACTTGATCTTTGGTGGTGCATGCATCTCGTAGTAAGAAAGAGCGTTTCCAACAATGTTATCCGTGACATGCTGGTTCAAGTCCAATAAATAACGGTTCATTGTTTCCATAGTAAGATTGTGATAACAGATGCCCTGTATAATCACTTCATGCATAAACTTTTTGTATCCCTGTAGTAGTGAAGGATCCATATGCTGTAAAATGTCGTCTAAACTGCTTGATGGCTCCATAGTGATTGCTTTTATTCTGAGGAGCCATCGGATATTATATCAGGTCGTTTGTTTGCCAAGAACTTGTAAAAGGCTGTGGTTTCTTTGTTCACTTGATGAAATATTTCACGGTTCAGCTCATACAAGTTGTAATTCAATTGATCAAAGTTCATGTCGCTGTTCCCTAATGCCTCAATCATCAAGGCTCGTATAAATTCTTTGTAGGAAGCAAATTGACACGGCTGTACTTTTTTTAACAGATGTTGCAATTTAGTAGACGGTGTCGTAGCCCCCATGTTTTTCGGTGAGATCTTGTACTAGATGTTCTTGTTTTTCAATCAACGTTTTCAGTCTAGCCGCTTCTTCTTGGATTTTCTCAAACTTTTCCTTAAGCTGTTTGAACTGTTGCAACAACTGCGCGCAATAAGCTAGTGATTTACTAGCGATGTTGATCCACTCGAGTTCACACATAATGAATGAACTGTGTCACCCGTGCATGCTTATATGAGCTCGTCATGGTCCACTGATTCTTCCAACTTAATGTATTTGCGTTGAGTCTCTGTTTGCTTTTTCTTGAACAGTAAAGTGACAATGACTGGACTATCCTGATTGAAGTCGGGAATAATGTTATTCCATTCTGTCACAGTCACTTCTAAAATGTCCACCAAATAACTCCTCAAGGAATAAAACTGAATGGGGTTACATTCAATCAGCGTTTTTTCGTTATTATAAGCGACAGATTTCATGATGGTTCTTTTTCCATCAATGCTTTTGGTTAAATTGCATGACAAAAACAGAGGGCGTAAATTGGCTGTTCCATGAGATTTAGGATGTGTGGAAGCTTTCTTGTCCCCCGTACTGGTAGTCGTTGTTTTGGTGGTTGTGTGAGAAGAAGGAATGACCGGGTGATCGTCATACACATCGGGTACCTGTTCTACATGTCCATCCACACCATACAGCACTAAAAAAGTGTTGTCTTTCAAAGCACCTGAATATTTTGCAGGCAGTGGAAACCCTATTTCAAACTTGATGCTTAATGTGACATTGCTACTTGAAGTTTTGGTGAATTGAATAGTTAAGGTGTGGTAATAAATCAAATGGGTTTTGTTTTGCTCATGAGTATGTTTTTCAACCCGCAAATGATGAACTTGTAAACCCAGTCCTTCCACTGAAAATTTAGAACGGTTAAACAGCCACTCATCCTTTTGGTACCACTCTAATGCCACCGTATAAAGTTTGTTGCGAGTTATGGAGCTCATATCAATTCCCAGCTCCCCTGAGTAATCTCCATGAGATACCATATCCACAATTTTTACTCCTCTTAACAAAGTCACACTCAGAGTTCTGGGTTTCCAATAATGGGGAGACACAGGCAAGTCGATAAAGTAATCGTTCCAGGCGAGTCCAAGTTCCATATTCCATAAGGAAAGGTTAGTCATCCAGGGTTTGAACACATTGAACACTGTTTTTGGCATTTCATAGGGTTTATGAATTGCTTTGTCAAAGGCTTCATTTAAATTTACAAAGCGCCAACTAAACGTGGAGCAAAGATACAGCAATCCGTCTACGACATGAATGGGTTGAGTAAAAGTAAATTTTGCATTGAGACAGGTCGCGGGATCTGGTTTTACACTAGTAGTACCGTATGGAAGCTCCATGAGTAAATTCGGTCCCACTGCAAACACATTGGTAGTTGTTTCTACAACCCAACCCATTTGTTTAGCCAAGATCAAATTAATGGCTAAATAAGGCACACTTTTTCTGTTGGTACTTTCAACATTGTAATGCCGAAGCAACCAACTCGTGTAATTATCTTGAGCAGAAACATCTATTCTCCAATTATCATTACTATCTGCAAATTCATACCCCGTGGGTAATTTTTTGTTTAAATCCTGTTCCATCCACCAAAAAACTTTGGACATAAAATCAAATCCATTGGAGGCATCTTGCAAATCTGCTGTTTTAAGTTGGGACAAAAATTCTTGAGATTGACTAGATTTGAAAGCTTTGGCATATTGTTGAAATAAAATATCGGTATCGCTCCCTTTGTACAGGTTGTGAATCGAGCGAATACCGAAAGGTTTGGTAGGATTTGTGTCATGATGTTTCGTCAGAGAGGAACTGACATGGGATGTGACAACATGGGGAATGGGATTGGAAACGCCAGGTAAAAACACACTTGCCAAACCCACTTTCCATTTGCCCGGTAACCATAAGCTTTGAGGCAAACGGTATTGAAATTGTGTGGGTAAATTGTCTGGAAATTCCTGTGTTTTTTGACTAGTCAGCGTCACATAAAACGAGTTGTCATTTGGCTGAGTCATGTTGTTAAATAATGAAATGAGGTAATTTATCTCTTTTATAGTCTGCCCCAACATGCTCAAGTCTCAAGGGTGTGATTAGAGCGAGTTCGTGACAGGAGTGACGTCATTGCCCAGACATGTCCAATTCCCTAAGGTATTTTAAGTAAGTATAAATTTGTGTGTTTGATGTGATTTTGCTGTATGTGTTATCTGCAAGAACCGACGTTTGACATGGATAACTCTGTTCCTCCCAAGAAAGAAAAGAAATCCAGAAAAGCCAAAAATAAGACGGGAGAAGAAGTGGTTCAATCAGTTCTGAAAACTCCAGAACCTCAAATGATTGAGAATGCAGAACCTCTTACTAAAGAATGGACAGCACCCCATTACACTACAGACGATAAATTTAGGTTGCAGAAATACCTGGACCCAGAACCTCAAATGATTGTCAATGAACAACTTCCTTCCTATGAGGAAATGCAGCAGGCCTGCCGAGATCTGTTCAATGGTCCGAGTTCTATGGAAACACAGCCTGACCTAGATCCCGTGCATATCATGGAAGAAGGAGTCGCTGTGTTACCAGATGGTCGACAAGTGGAATGGTGGCCTATAGAAGGGGAATTCGATGTGCCTAATTTAGATGAAGTTTCTTTGCACGAATATCTGTTGGATGCTAGCAAGCCTTTACATACCAACTTTGTCCTGCCTGAAAAAGGCCTTGCCAATTGTTCTACATGTCCCGTGTATTTTGGCAATGCAGACAGCAAGCAGACAGTGTTGGATACCATTTGTAACAGCATTCATCCCAAAATCTACGAGCAATGGGGAACCTTTAGCTGTCATTGTGGATTAGTGCCTAGACTCAAGCTGAGTCAAACACCAAGAAATCCAAACAAAGTGTTCCTAAGCTGTCCTAAGACCAGAGAAGCCAGGTGTAATTACTTTCAGTGGATTCACCAAGCACCTAAACCTGTGAAGGTCCCTAAAGCTTTTACACCCTCAGCTCTCAAGAAACGAATGCATGAGATGGTACAAGAAAGATTACAGAAACGACCAAAAGAAGAGGCAGGAGGATTTAAATTTCCCTAAAAACACTTTGTTCTTGTTGTTGTAAAAAGTTTGTTGTTTAAAATTAAACAATGTGATCTCAGTCAAGCGTGTGTTTATTTGTCTAACACCCTTGGGGATTCTTGCCCGATCTTGCCCGATACCCTAGGGACCTTAGGAGTCTTATAAAATTGGGGCAATCTCTGGTCAAATCACAAACTCTGCTACCATGGCTTGTGAAATGAGTAGAGAAGAAGATCTTGAAATGATGAACGTAGATTTTGGCGGTCCTGACGGTCCTTTAAACACTCAATTTTTGCTTTCTATTTTTGACGAAAAGAAACTCTGCCCAAGATTTTATGGAAAAGAATTGGACAAATTGAAAGTGTATGATGCCTTAAAGAAAGACATGCATGCAGAAGTAAAAACCAAATGGGGAGAACTGAAATGTCATTGCTCGCGAATTCCTATCCTTCGTCTTAGTAAGACCGCCAGAAACCTGAACAAAGTCTTTTTAACCTGTGGAACACCCGCTTTAGCTGAGACTCGCTGCAAATATTTTCAGTGGATTCACACACCACTGTTTATCGATAAGAGACCCATCCATAAACTCAAGTATGCGACAAACCTGAGCAGAGTCGAATGGATGAAACAAGCAGAAGCGAATGTTGAGACGTGGAAACAACGCAATGGTTGGTACAGCAAACAAGATGCCGAAACTCAAACAGAGCAGAATCAGCAACATACATGGTTTGCTGAATCAGCCAAACAGTTTGCTGAATCAGCCAAAAGGCAAGAAGAACAAAGAAAAGCGCAAACAAAGTTTCCTTGGAAGAGCACTCCTCTGCCAAGCACCTTTCAGTCGAGTCCAGAGATAGCCAAGGAACTCAAGAAACGAGAGCAATGGAAGGAGGTTGTGAGTATTGCTAACCATCGGTTTCATTCTCGTGTGAAAGGATGGCATCATCTTCCTCCAGCGGATGCAAATGTAGCTGAGTATCTAACAAAACAAAAAAGCAAAGGCCATTCTCTCTCACCTGCGGATGAAAAGTTCTTAAATGCCTGCATAGCAAGCAAACATAATGAGTGGAAACCTCCCCCCGGAGCTGAAAAGTATGAAAAGAACGAAGTAGCCATCGCCAAAGCAGTGTATGAGGACTGGTCTTTTGGTTATTTGCCCGAAAAAGTGTGCAGTTTGATGTCCTATTGCCGCAAGAGAAAGAAGGAGGGATTGCCTTTAACACCCGTGGAGGAACGTTTTTTTGCTCAATTGGTGAATGTATATGCACCAGAAGAAACAGACAAGCAAAAACAAGAAAAAGAAAAGAGATTTTTGCAAGAATGTGATGCAAACAATGCAGAGAGAAGAAAATGTGGATTGCTTCCTTATTCCTATGAAACATTTAGAACATTTGGAACTGGTATCTTTTGAGTTACTCTTTAAAGAATGTATGCAATGACTAGTTCTGTCAATTTTTAAATAAAAGTGTTGAAAAGGATTTGTTAGTGGTTGTTTTCTTGTTAGGGTTAGGGTTAAACCATAGCCCCTTGGGATTTGGGTTTGGGTTAGGGTTAGGGTTAAAATGCTAATAAGGTTAGGGTTAAACCCTAGTCCTTTGGGATTAGGGTTAGGGTATAAAGTGGGTGATTTGTTTTAAAAGCAGTCATTCCGTCATGGGAAATCTGCAGTATAGAAGTACTGTGTGGATTTGCCAACATATTTGTGAAGACTCTGCCTTCTTTCAAGACAATTGTCAACCTATCAGTCTGTTTCAATGGATGATAAATCATAATCATACATCCTGGGGACATTATGCTGTGTACATCACTTGGTTGCATCGACACTTTCCTTCTGAAAGAGTAACCGTGTTTTGCTATTTAAAGAAGCACTATTCAAAGAACATGTATTCATTTTGGTATTTAGCAGGACAGTATCTATCGTACTATGGAAACAAAATTATCTGCTTCGTATGCCGATCCTACCGAGCCTGGATCACTGGGAGGTGTTGCCAAATTTGCCAAAGCACACAAGATTCCCGTGTCCAAAGCAAAGAAGGAACTGCAACAAGTACTGAGTTACACTCTGCACAAACCAAGACGTCGGCGGTTTAAAACATTACCCACCCTGGTGTTTAACATCAACAAACAATTTGTGATGGACTTGGTAGACATGCAAAAACTAGCCAAATACAACAAAGGGTACAAATATTTACTGACGGTGATTGATGTGCTCTCAAAATTCGCGTGGGTAGAACCGTTAAAGAGTAAAAGCGCAACATCGATGGTAGAAGCCTTACAAAGACTGTGGTCAAGATTGGGAGATCGTTTCACGCAAAAAGTACAAACAGATTCTGGCGGTGAATTTTATAATGTCAAAGTACAGTCCTTTTTTAAAAAACATGGAGTGAATCATTTTTCTACGCATGGAGATCCTCACGGTTCCGTAGTGGAACGTTGGAATCGAACTTTGAAAACGAACATGTTTCGCTATTTTACTGCGCATAATACGCTCAAGTATATTGATGTGTTGCCTGCTTTAGTGAAAGCATATAATCATTCCTATCATCGTAGTATTCAAGAAAAACCTGTCAATGTCAACGAGTCCAACGAAACCGAAATTTGGTATCGTTTATACGATACGAAAAAAGACAACAAAGTGAAAAAACCGCAATGTCAAGTAGGTGATAAAGTAAGACTCAATAAAAAATTTCGTCCTTTTAAAAAAGGGTATTTGCCTGGGTGGACTGAAGAAGTGTTTTTAGTGAAACAAATCTATACGACAAAACCAGTGGTAACGTATAAACTCACGGAATGGGACGGGTCTCCTATAAAAGGAACGTTTTATGAACCAGATCTGCAAAAGGTCAATGTCGCAGACGATTCATTATTTCGTATTGATCAAGTTTTAAAACGCAAAGGAAAACAAGTCTTTGTGTCTTGGAAGGGTTGGCCGAAAAAATATAACTCTTGGGTGTGGAAAAAAGATTTGCAAGTGTTATGAAGAGTTTTTGATTAACCTTGATCAGCGATCCCACGGACGAACATCCCCAAAACCAAAATAATAATTTTAAAGTGCGTTTACCGGTGCGACTCAATTTAGAAGGCAATACCTGGCAAGCCAGTTTGTGGAGTGTGTCTGTTCCCGATGTAGGACATAGTTCTGCTGTCATTCACAGTAATAGTGACACCAAGATACTCAACTATCGCTACACCTTGACCAAGCGTCATGCTGTGACCAGTGATTGGTTTATTAACTTTGAGCCCAAAGACAAAACTGTGACTTTGAAAGATGTCATGGGTGGTTCGTATCCTGTCTATTCAGGTCATCAATTATGGCAGAATATTATGACCCATATGGAACAAACCATCATGGAAGATGTCAAGTCATCCTTTGACACTTGGAAAACAACCAAAGGTAATACAGGCACTGTTTCCCTGAAATCTACTTGGAAACCCACCTTTGAATGGAACGAAAACACCGTCGTGTTGAAAAAAGTATCCCGTGAAGATGCGTTTGCTCGTGACAGACAGCCAAACATTTACCCCCTTTCCTCTGTAGGGATCCATGTGGATTTTGCGGAAAAGTTTGGTTTATTGTTCAAAGACAAAAACAACCAATACCAATTAGGACCCAATTTAGACTTTGTCTTACCCACAACCACTTATACGACATCCACTCCACCCGTCAAAAGCAATGATAAGTACCAATGGCTAGGAGAGCATTTTGTGAGCATTAGTCCAGCAGATTTAGGAGGAAGCTCGCTATTCAAAGT